TTAGTGTAGTGGTTGGTAGTTTCTAGTAGTCTAATCTGTTAATGTTCGTTAGTGTTATCTGTTATTTATTTCAATTAGTAATTAGAATCGGTAGAGATTAGTTTTAGTTTAATTATTAGAGTTTAGTAATTTAATTACTAATTAGTCGTCGTTTAGTGTTGTTGTGTTGTTGGTGGTTCACAAAAAATTTTTTTTATTTAAAATTCTATCCCAAAACAGCATTTAGTATCACCTTTTAAAACATTTTCAAATTTTAAATAAAAGCAATATTCCGAAATTAGTAAATATACGATCGTAACTTTTGACACGAAGGTAATGTTCGCGACGGTTTTAACTCAGCGACGATTAAGCATATGTACAAGGCCGATTATGAAAAAACCGATTAAATAAATATTTAAAGATTTAATGAAATGAAAAAAGATTTATTGTTGTTTTTTATTTGTTATTTATAACATTTTAATTTAATTCAAATTAAAAATTGCGTAAAACAATAAAAAAATTCATCATAAAATCGTTATATATTAATATACCAACGATAATGAGAAAGTTAAAAAATTGCCAAAAATTTATTTATGTGTGCATCTAAAAAATATTTGCATATTCTGATAACAATTTTATTTTCAAAAATACCATATATAACAAAACTTTCTCCCGTTTTGTGCACATTCTCAAAAATTCGATTGAACGCGATAACCCTACATTTCCAAATTTGCGTCATCGGTAACGAGAAAGTTAAAAAATCGCAAAAAATCCATTTATGTGTGCATCTAGAAAATATTTGCATCTTCTAATAGACAATTTTATTCCCAAAAATACCATATATAACAAACCTTTTTCCCGTTTTGTGCACATTCTCAAAAATTCGATTGAACGCGTTAACCATACATTTCCAAATTTGCGTCATCGGTAACGAGAAAGTTAAAAAATTGCTAAAAATCCATTTGTGTGTACATCTAGAAAATATTGTATATTTTAATAGAAAATTTCATCCCCTAAAATATCATATAAAAGAAAACATTTTCCCGTTACGTGCACATTCCTAAATATTGGATTGAACGCGTCACCCATACATTTCTAAATTTGCGTTCTTGGTAACGAAAAAGTTAAAAAATCGCCGAAAATCCATTTATGTGTGCATCTCAAAAACATTTAAATAATCTAATAGACAATTTTCTCTTCTAAAATATCATATAAAACAAAACTTGTGAAATTAAAACAATTTATATTAGTATAAACGTAATTCTTTTTAGAGAAGCCAACAAAAAACGGGGATCTGGTAAAAAAAATTTGTAGCAAATAACTCGTTTAAAAAAGAAAAGAATGCCGCGAATTAAAACACGAGAACTAAAACATGAACATTTCTTTCAAAAGTAACACTAGAGTTTAAACATGCAGCATGATTTTAAAAGTATTTTTCTTAATTTTATTCCGTTTCAAAACATAATCTAAAAAACATCTAAAATTTAAAAAAGTCCAAAAAGTACAATCACGGTATTCTATTCTGGTATTGCCATTTTGTGTTAATCAAATTATAAATTATACTACAAGCAAGAGCAGGAATGACGTTGTAACACATCAGATACAGGAAACTTCAAAACTGTAGTGCACGTAGGTTGTTTGCGAGATAATAACAAGGACCAAATACTTCCATAATTAAGTCCAATACTTCTTTGCAGTTCCTGTTTAATTCATCGAGTTCATTAAAATTAATTTATAAATCAAAGTATAACACAATTTTAAAATATTCGGTAATATACTGTAGAATTTTTAAATTATATTATGATGTCAACAAAATAATATATAGAATCTTATACTATGCACCTGCGTCTCGAACCGTTATTTTCGTTACCAATCGACAGAGATTTAATAATAATAACGGTAAAAAAATATCTCGTATCGTTATAAAACGATACGAAAAATCTCGTATCCTTTAATAACAATACCAGAGATCTCCTATCGTTATTTAAACAAGACATTTTTAGGAAAGTCTATCATATCGAAATAAAAAATAAAAGATACAATTTTCGTCTCGTACCATTATTTCAATGTGTGGAAATGGTAAAAGTGCACATTGTAAAAAAATAAAGTGTTATAAAATATTAAAACTTATTTAATTTTTCCCAATGGAATGACTTTGGTTTAATAAAGACTCTAAAAATATCGTATCGTTATTAAAACGAAACATTCTCCAAAAAATACGAACACAACAAACTTTTGTTTAATTTTTCAATTGAATGGCTGTTTTCTGGGCGAAATAACTGGGCGGCGTGATGGTCTAATGGTTAAGGTTGCCTGGTGCTGTTTCGCAGTAACCGGGTTCGAATGTGACAAAATTATCCCCGCGTATCACATGCTTCGTGTGTAATGCGTCGTTTAGCACGATGTTTATTTACGATGTTTTTCGCTCTGTTGAATCCTCTGAACTTTGGAAGAGTGTAATTGACCTTTAACTTTTTTCTGTTTTAATACAGTACATTTGGTAAAGCGGAGTTGACGGGAAAACAACTAAGAGCAGACTGAATGTGCCAAGCGTCATTGTTATTGCGCGATGTTCAAATACTATTTTTCAAAAACTCGAAAATCATCATACAACTTGTGTACATACTTGTGCACATGATTTTATTATATCAATATATAGTCTTCAATACCTCGTTATCGTATCGTTATGTATCGTTTTCAAAATAATAACGAGACGCAGATTTTTATGTAACAAAATTAATTTTTAATAATTCCATGTATTTTCATTTAACGAAAATTTATTTGATCAAACTGTTCAGCCGATTTGACATGATTGAGTCCGCCTGTTAGATACACTTCATCGTAGCCGAAATCATATCGTTTCCAAAAATTAACGAGACGCAGATGCTTATATAATAAAATTAAATTTTTAAATATTCCGTGTAATATTATTAAACGAAAATATATTAGTTCAAACTGTTCAGCCAATTGGACAATATTGGTTCCGCCTGTTAGATACACCAAAACCGTTGCGAACATTACCTTCGTACTGTTCAGCCAATTTGACAATATTGGTTCCGCCTGATAGATACACCAAAACCGTCGCAAACATTACCTTCGTACTTTTGACTTGAGCGATAAAAAATCACCCTCCAATTTCCCTCTAGAAGTAAGCTCCTTGTTCGACTGTCAAAAATGAGCGAAGGCCGTTATATTTATTCTAATTATATGGTCATATGCATATAGCTGGAATAATTATACGTATATTGAAAATTAGTTGGACCTCTCATACTTCGAATAAGGATGTATTAAAACATTCCGGTTAGAGGAAATTACTACAGGTAATCCGACGGGGGCAGTTAATGTTTTATGGTCACATCATGCTGAAGGAAAGAATGGAAAGTCTAACAACTACAGGAAAGATTGCAGGTAAAAGAGATCGCGGTCAACAACGAACATTTGTGAAGTCCTTGTGTCACTTGTTGAATATCACCACATTTCAACTACTATAAAGTGTTAAAAAACGGGTTTTGCGGAAGTCGATGGTCGCCAATGTACTGAAAGGATAAGGCACGAGAAAGAAAGATCAAACGTATTATGTAATTGGTCTAGAATTTATACGCAAAATACATATACATACGCTGGTAACAGACCACAATTAATGCAGTAATATATGAAATCTACCATATTTCTAGCGTTGGATAGGTTTTTTTACTACATTTCTCAACATCTCTAACCAAATTCTTGTCATTATTAATTTTATTAAAGTTAGAATGATTTACAGTTTTCCAATTCATTTTCATGTGCATCAATCCACAACAACAAATTCGAAATAGTACCCTAATGCCTAATGTTTTTGAAGCTATTAAAGTAGAGAAAGTCACATCGTTTCAATATCTAGGGGATGTTCTGGATTGTACTGGAACAGCTGAAGCTGCCGTTCGAGCACGCATACGTGCAGTTTGGAATAAATGGCATCTCCTTGCCTCTATATTGATGCGGCTTGACATCCCACTACCACTACGATCAAGACTTTATAAATCTGTGATGCGTCCGGTGTTGTTGTATGGTGCAGAAACATGGCCAATGACAACCAAACTGGAACAACTTCAACGAACCGACATGAAGATGCTCCGATGGATGCAACGAATTAGTCTGAAGGACCAAATCAAATCTACCGAAATCCTGCGTCGTGCTGGTTTAGATGATATAAAGGACGAATGCCGGCAACACAGTCTGTGGTGGTTTGGTCATGTCAAACAAGTGGAAACAGTGCCATAATTTTCCTTGCAGATGTTGAAGTACCTAGCACACGTCCCAAAGGCCGTCCAAAGAAGTCTTGGTCGCAAACAATCGAGCAAGACATGAAAGCTCTAAATTTAAATGAAATGGATACAATTGATCGTCTAATTTGGCGCAAAAAATTGATGGCAAAGAAAACAACGTCCTACCTCGGGGGAACTGGGTCTCTGGACGCATAACGAAGATTGATTCAATTCATTTTCGAGTGTCTAAAACCTACTTCGATTTTTCAATCATCTTCAGCGCTTGTTACAGTTTATATAGAGAATGTGTATAATCCAGTACTTGTTGCAGTTTATATAGGGAATTTGTATAACCTAGGCCTTTGTTCCTGTGAACAAAACAGAACCAAACCCAACTTTAAATAATCTGTATTGGCTTGGTTGAAAACATTAAATTAAATAGCTGACAACAAAATAAAAAATAGGTTTTGTAATTGCAACTATAGTATCCAAATATATTATTATTGGTCATAACACATTGCACTGATTTGTTGAGCAAAAACTTTTTAATCCTTAAAAAATCGAACTTGATGAGATTTTTTTATTTGAAATTTTTTTTAAATGATAAAAAATAACATACAAAAAGGAAAATAAAAAAATAAAAGCTCACATTTAAAAATTTCAAATATTTAGCATATGTAAATTTTGAAAAGAATGATAGTTATAAAATATGAATTAGATGGCAAATGTAAATCGCAAAAGAATCAAATTGTAAATTTTGACAATGATATCAAGACATCACTGGTAGTAAGAGGCAAATAATGACTCAACTTGCAATGGCCAATCAAACAAAACTTTACATTCACCCTCTCCATAATAAATGTAGCTACAATCATTTTTATAACAAATCTTCAAACAATCAGATTGTAGATACTTATATTTCAAACTCAACACATCAAACCCTGTTTGCACAGCTTCAATGCCATCTGTACAACCAATAGTCAAATGGGCTCTTGAGCCAACTTTCAGTTCTATTCTTTGATTCACAGGAATAAATTCAGATACATTGCATAAGCGGTTTTTAGAAAGCTCATTATTTAATGAAAGCAATGAAATTTTTTTATATATTGCATCACTTATTTCATCTTTGCATGAAGTTTTTTCATCAGAACAGCTTGGAATAAGTTTGCCATCTTTGTCTAATTTATACATGAAAGCATCTTCACTTTTCCAAATTTTTAAACACTTTTTGTCCAATTTTATGAGAACTCCACTAGTTCTTGGTGTAAAAATAAACCCTGAAACCGTTAATTTGAAATGTTTACCTAATGAACCAATAACATCTGATTGTGAAGAGTATGAATCTTCATTGCTATCCAAATCTTTAAGCTCCTTTTCGAAATATGTTGTACAATGAAGCAGTTTTTGAAAGTTCACATTGTATATCATTTTGTATTCTAAGCTTTTACTGTCTGAAAATTAAAATATTTTAACATTTCCAATTTTATATAAAAACATAAGTATACATGCATCTAATTATAAATATAAATACATCTGGCAAATTTAAAGAACATATTAAAAACTAAAAAAATTAAATTTAAAAAACTTACATGTGGATACTAGATCATTTCCAAATTCTTTAAACAAACTTAGGCATTCGTAAAAATTTTTTTCAGCAAATTTGGTGAAGAGATAAGATTCATATTCATTAACAAAGAAGCCCCAAAAATATGGTGTAATGGGATGGAGAAGGCATTTTCTACACTCAATATATTCACTTGTACAACCATGTTTATTTAATTTTTGTAACTTTTCGACATTTGATTTCCAAGGAGTTTTAGGTTCTACAATCAAAACTAAATAATTGTGCTGATTAGCAATTTTAATATACGAATCCATTTCCCATCTTTGAATATTTGTGTTGTCTATAATTATGTGTCGTTTGCCAACCACTGTCGCTTTAAAAAATGATTTCTTGCAAAGCTGATGAGCTTCAGGCAATTTTTCTGGACAGATATTATACAAACCATCCTTGTTACTAGTAAAATAGAAGTCAGCGGAGCACACGTAAGATGACAGCGGATAGCACCTAACGATTTTGTTTGAAATGTACGACTTGCCAGAACCAGGTAACCCTCTCAAAATGAAAACAACTTTGTTGTAAGTTTTCTTTAAATAACTTATTGTTGGTCTATCAACAAGAAATGGAAAGTCCGCATAAGACGATGGACAATATTTATTCTTTATTATTCGCCTTCTGCGTTTTAGATTCATTGTATTTATTTTTCATTTATAAAATGATCTCGGATAACACGATTAATTCATTAATGAACCATTAAAATAATTTTTTACGTTGCACGCAAAATAACGCAAATTCTCGTTTAAAAGTGGTTGACGTTAAAACAGTTTGAACTGCTGACCAGGTGTGTAATGCCTTATCGAGTTTTTTTTAACAAGAATTAAACCATAGAGTTTAAACGATAAAGCTGGCAACTAAAATATGGCCATCAGTTTGTAGCCAACATCAACATTCACATCTTATCAGTTGATTTCTCTCTCTCTCTCTCTCTCTCTCTCTCTCTCTCTCTCTCTCTCTATATATATATATATATATATATATATATATATATATATATATATGGTTTCCTGTATAAAATTTAATGAATTTATGATGTCAATTTTGCTCTTGCTTCCAGTAAATTGTATAAAGGGAAAAATGAAATATAACCAAGGAAGGAATTGCGATCTTGGTGTATTTTATTTTTCATTTAAAAACAGCTGATCCCGCAGGATATAAAATAAAATTTTAAATTATCAGTCACCAAGCTTTAGACATGACAATCAGCGTCGAAAAAGTTAACAAATGATGTCATGATGCTCAAATTTTTCTTGCAAAGAATCTATAATAAATTTTATTGAAAATGAAATTTTTTGTACAAATTGATTTTGATTTCATGATTATTTTTAACTACTATTTGTGATGGTGTTTTAAAAACAATTGAGTTAAACACAGGAGAAAAAAATAAAGCACGTGATTTGAAGGCTTGCCTGATAGAGTTTGTTACATCGACATAAGTAGGGATTTTATATTTATCACCAAACATCCAAACCTAAGCTTCTTGCTAGTATATTCCTGCACCAAAAATAATGCATGTGCGACATCTTTTCCTATTTCTTCCAGTAAAATTTAAAACATGAAGAACATGATAGGCTGCTATTGATATCAGTACACACAGATGTATGCACACAAGCATGGCGTCTTTATTAACTTTAAGCTATTTCGATTCGAGGTAATTCGTGAGTTAAGATTCGACCAGGCCTCACATACTATATTGGTCACCTGCCGATAAAATGTTGTGTAAATTTTTGGGTTTGGTGTTCCAATGTTGAAATACATAATATAAACTTAAAAATGCGAAATTATTGGCATTGACGAAAATAGCATTTTAATAGCATCCGTGAAATGTCATTTACATTTCTCAGCGGTAAATAATTTATAGTTTAAAAGGAATATGTTATATTATAATATAAAACTACTCAATAATTTCTGTTGTACTTGATGTTCGGCTCAATAAATTAAAAATTTTTCCATATTTTTTTGGCAAACCTTTTACTCAGAAAAAAGTAATTAAATATTTTCATGTTTAAATAATTATAAAGTCAAACATTAAAAGAATTATTTACAGACATGATTTTAGTTTTATTATTTTAAAAGAATAGTCATTAATTTTAAACATGGTAAAACTGTCAATCGATTTTCCAATCTTTTTCAGTTGGCAGCGACCAAGTGCCTTCCGAGTAACTTACATCAAATTATGTTGAATGAAGACTAGGGACTTTTGTTTTAAATTTCAATTGTAAAATTTTTAAAAACCCAACCGTAAAAATCAATTTTTGAATATTTCATTTGATAAAAAATCCAATGGATGTATTGTACGTACTGACCGCCTCGTTTCGATGTATTGTACTTCCGCTTCCACTAAGACTGTTCGCAGTTTTGGTGATTTGAATTTGAGTTGGTCTGACAAATGTAGGCGAACTTTTGTTCAATGTACTTTCTTGTAGATTTGGAAAACGGTTGAAATTGTATTTTTCACTAATAACTGATGATGAACCCGAAAAGTTAACGTTGAAACTACTGTTGACATCACTTCTGTTACTGTTGTACATTTGGCCTTTCTTGTCTTTGTTCACTTTTATCAATGTCACTCTGGAGTAATTTGAAAGTATTTCATCAGATGTTGTGCCGTTATTTTGGTCGTTCATCTGCGTGCTTACTTGCAGCGGTTTGTTTTTTATGAGCACTTTGTTGTTCTTCTCAAAAATCAACTGAGAGCTCAGGCCACAGTTAGATCCCTTGGGATCAACTATTAACTTTTGAAATGAATTTTTATTAAAATGATCAAAATTTGTGTACCCAGCGTTCACAATCTTTATCGTTTGTTTCTGGTGTTCAGTGTCCATAACATTTACATTGTTTGTTGTTACGATAGCAGTTTGATTGTGACGATTGTAAGTACTGGAATTAAAATATTTTGGATTTGCGTCAGTAGAATTTATTTTTTGGGGCCTGTTAAAAGTTGTGATGGTGCTTCGGTTGTCAAAGTGCAGCCAGTGAGATGATGCTGGTTGATTGGGGCTCTTATCATGAACATCACCTTCATTGTACTCCATCTTATTATAGCTGCGATTGTTATTATCATTAATATTTTTATCAAAATTATTGTACATGTCGTCGTCATCGTTGCTCACATTATAATTGGAAACAATATTAGTATCGTTAAAATGGCTATCCTCATCACCATCATCGTCATTATTATTATTTTCGTTATCTTTGGTGCCGTTATAATTATTGTCATCAAAATTATGATAACTATTGTTGTTATTTTTATTAATATCATCATCATCATCATTATCATCATCATCATTATTTTTATTTGTAACATTATTATTAATATTGTTAATATCATTATCATAATAATTATTATAAGTAGTAGCAGTAGTATAAGAAATAGTTGTATTATTAATATTATTGTCAGTTGAGAAACGGTTTTCGAATAAGTTGGCAATTTTATTAGGACTGCCGGCTTTTACATCCGATGTTGAAACATTTTGCTCAAGCGCAAACTCTTGATGAGGCTTTGGTACTCTTTTCGCGGTTGTTTCTCCAAATTTGAAAGTCAATTGGTTGCTTGTCGGTGTCGGTGTAACTGTTTCTTCAAATTTGAAAATTAGTTGGTTGCTTGGAGCCATTTTATGTGCATCGTCTGATTTGTTATATTTAATAGAATTATTATTTTCGTTGTCTTTGAAAAAACTTGATTCAAAATCATTTGAACTTTTTTCATCGACATCCCTGAAAATTGTGTAGTTGAGGTTAATATCGTTCACAGTGTTGTTTGTTGGATCAACGTTTATATTATCGTCTCTTACGTCGGAATAAAAGTTTGTTTTGTAACGAGTTTTGAATCCGTTCCGAACTTCGTCTCTGTTCAAATTGTTGCGCTCGGTTGCCTGAGAATTATTTGGCACATTCTTCTCAGGTTCATTTTTTTGCACAGACGTTAAATTATTTACCACTTGTTTCACGGGTTCATTTTTTTGATCAGACGTTAAATTATTTACCACTTGTTTCACGGGTTCATTTTTTTGATCAGACGTTAAATTATTTACCACTTGTTTCGCGGGTTCATTTTTTTGATCAGACGTTAAATTATTTACCACTTGTTTCACGGGTTCATTTTTTTGATCAGACGTTAAATTATTTACCACTTGTTTCGCGGGTTCATTTTTTTGCGGAGACGTTAAATTATTTACCACTTGTTTTGTGAGTTCATTTTTTTGAGCAGACGTTAAATTATTTACCACATGTTTTACGGGTTTGAATTTGTTTGCAGACGTTGAATTATTTAACATTTGTTCTGAGGGCTCAACATTTTGCATGGACGAAATATCATTTAGAATTTCTTCTTCCAATTTGCTTGGCGAAACCTTTGAATTATTTTCAGGCAATGCTTTATAATTAATTTTTACCGAGGTTTGGTTAGGGTCGGCATTTTCATCTTTCATGCATGTTACTTCCCATATATTTTTATCGGTGGATATACTCTGGGAATCGCTTGTTTTTTGTAACAGTGGAGTGTTTTTGTTCACATCATTGTTTTCTTTTTTTTCAAAAACTTTGCTGATGTCAACGATTTGTTTTGCTTTGTTAGACGCAGAAACTGTTGCTTCACATGCCAACGATGATTGATTGTTTGTAGTTTTTGAGTCGTCATCAGAATTCAATGCTTCATCAACTTTTGAGATTGCGCTACATTTGAAAACAAGACCTCCATTTTTATCATTTACCAGTTTTTGAATGTCTTCACTGATTTGCTTCTCGGCTGAAGTGTTTCTTTCACAATAGCTAGATTTTTTATTAAACATTTTTTTAAGTTCATCAAAATCAGCACTACGGTTTTCACCTATTTCGCTCTCTTGTGTTGTTTCAGTAACAGTTTCCAACGCGAGTTTACTATGAGCTTTATTTAATTTCTCAAAATTCATCAACTCGAGCTTTGAGGAATTTTTTACAAATTTATTTTTGTCGGTTATGTGTGTCTCACTTTTGTCATCGGTTGTTGTTTCGTTGCCAGTGTTAACTTCATCATATTTCACCGTTCTAAATTTTGCATTAGATATATTTTTATTTTTAAGGCTATATATATTATTTTTGGTTCTTATTTTTTCATTTTGGTTGTAATCATGCTTTTGATCATTGCCAAAATTAACTAACTGTGAATCTTTCATTTGATCTTCTTTCAGTTTTGCATTAGCCAATTTTCGCGATTTAATTTTTGATATGTCGGCATAAATTGGTTCGTCCCAAATATCTCTTGAATTTTGCAAGCTAGCACCGAGATCGACCAAATCCTTTTCATTGTCTTGCAGCGGCTTTTCATTTTTCGGTGGAGTTTTTTTATTTTTTAGTGAGAATTTTGGTTTGCTCTTAAACATCAGGTCATATGCGTTTTGCTTAGGTTCTGGAAAAACACCTCCTTCACGTACGTAACGATATATTCCATCAGTTTCATCGTACAGCAAGTGAATTTCTTCACGTTCGTTTGTTGGCGATGAAATGTTTGTTCTATTTTTGTTGTTAAGTTTTATGTGCCCGAAAGTAATCAAAACAATGCTGTTGCGAAAATTTTGCTCAGATACAGAGACGAATTTTACGTACTTTTTAAACTCTTCATTGTTTGAAACGTTTTGATAATTGAGCACACAATTAATTTTTAGCATTTCGCTAACTGGTACGTTAACAATTTGGTTGTTTGATTTTAAAGAAACGCATAAAGCAGTTTCAATTTCACTTTTTCCCATCAACCTGAAGATCGGATGGTACTTGTCACTGCTCATGTATTCGCCGTATGCTAGCTGCACTGTCAGCGGGAAACTAAAATTGTTGATGATGCTTTTAATTGAATGCACGCCAATTATTTCTGAAGCATCTGTAATTACTGAGATGTATATTTTTTGATCACTTTCAAGCCACACAAACCGATTTTGTTTGTCTTTTAACTTAATTAGCTCTTTTTCTTTAGACGTTCTTACAGAATCTGATGTGTTCTCAAAACTTTCACAAGTGAGAATTTCTCCTACCTGCAAAGTTCGGATTTTACTTTTTGAGATCGCTTCATCTGACGAGGTTGTAGCAAACACCTTGCATGTTTCTCGAACTAATATTTTTTTTGAATTTAACTTTTTTAAATCACGAGCAATCGCCACCGTTTTGCTAGATTTTTTGTCTTCTGTTAAAATTTCAAACCAACCTTTGTAGTCGATTGGGATGGCATAAACAGAGATATGTTTGTTGTTACTGGCATTGTTTGTCAGTTGCCCTTCAGCTATAATAACTTGACTAGATTTGCACGAGTGAATGTATAGGATGTTCTGTTGACGTTTCGATGTTCCGATGCTACCATACTGACCAGATTTGACTCTCGCGATAGTTGGAAAAGTTGAAGATCTCAGGAAGTTTTCGAATATCACTTCTTGGTCGCTCCATTGGCACAATCGACATAATTCATCAGAGGCGTGGGACATATTTCAAAGTTTTTAAATGCAATAGTAATGCCTTTTAATAAATGAAAAAACCTATATACTGAGATAAAAACAACAAAACCTCAATAAATTTTCAAGTTGTACGCTATTTCAAATAAAATTTTAATAAAATCTAAAAACGATTTTCAATTAGAAAAATATTTTTTGTATCAAAAGTTAATTTTAAACCCCAAAGTTAATGAAAAAATAACTTTAATTCGAGCAATTCCAATAAAATGTGAAATCATGATTCAAAATCTTCTCAACATTCAACCGGTGAATACGAATGGGCTGGACAGCAGAACAATGGTGAATTCGACAATACAATAGCGTTACAAATGAATGAATTTCTTAACGTAAAATTCTGACTGATTGAATGCACGAACTACTACTGAATCAATATATATTTGATATTTTGATATCTCGTAATAGAATATACACAAAATTATATTTAAAATTTTACAATAAAATAAATAAGACAAACATAACGATTAATTAAACGAACTGGTCAAACTAGTCTTATCAAATTGTTTTATTCTTTCATTCAACTAATCGAAACTTTAAAAATCGCCATGCATGTACACCCACCCACACAAACACAAATACACACACACACACGGACACACACAGACACACACACAAACACACACACCCACGGGCGCGCGCACGTACACACGCACAACACACACAACATACACAAGATATATCTTAACAGCAGGCATGCTTCTCATAACTTATAGGTCTGCCAAGTTGTAACTGCGGACAGGTCCTACAAACCTGGAAGATGCTTAATGCCGGATGCTGTTAATGGCATCGATCGCTCCTTTTTATTTCAATTCTTTCTTCCAATTAAATACATCCGACACATAAAGTATGTTATGAATTTTCCATGTCTTTCGTTACACATATTGTTGATCATTAACAGCATTATCGCTCCTCGTTTAATTTCCTATAAATTTGTATTTGTGTTTGTATTTAAATTAGAGCATGTTCATCAATGGCCTGATTTTTTTATTAATAAAGATTCGGATATCTTTGATTGGATCTCTGTCGCAATTATTTGTTTGGGCGTTAATAATAACTAGAATTTTTTTTTTATATAAATATTTTCATGTTTCATCAGGTTGTCTTTTATTGCTCATTAATGATGTTGTAGTCCTTCTGAATTCTAGTGAATTCGGAGTTTTACCGCTGCAGACACACATCAATCTTACACTTGAATGAATAAGTCTGACGACCAGTTTCTATTTTTGAAATAATTCAGCTTTAATTCTTTTTTTTCTGTTTTCGTTACTTTTCTGTAGTGAGCGCTATACAGTTTCTAATTCCACTATTTTACAAACTTGTTTTGTTACATTAATGTCAAGTTGTTTCATTCCATCTAAGCAAATTTTAAGATGGCCAGTAATTATGCATTTTCATTTGGTTATCTTAGTTGAAAACAAATTTACTGCCCTGTGGTCTTTTATAATGTGTTGATAACCTTTTTTAAAACATTATAAAATATTTGTACATATTTTTACATGACTTTTTCTTTCTCGTGTCTTATCCATTCAGGATATTGGCGACCATCGACCTCCACAAACCCGATCTTTAGCACTTTGTAGTAGTTAAAATGTGGTGATATTCAACTAGAGACACAAGGACTTCACAAAAGGTGTTATACTTCTCCCAGCTAATCATCTTCATTCTTTTCATTTTTTGTTTTACGTTTTCAAATTTTCCAGTCTGGTACAACGTTCTAACGTTCGATGTTGCCAAAATAAAAGGTGTTTTCAACTTGTCACTATCATGTTTACATAACAACATAATAATTATAATAATAATAATTTTATTTTATATATGTGATTAAACGCGTAGTTTCCGAGGTTATAGATTGTGGAAATGTTTTTTGGCTATTAGTTTTTTCCGATGCTTTCACAAACAATTGCCTGATTACTAATACTTCTTCCAGCTAATAGTCTTGTTTGTCGAGAGCCATTTATTTTACGTGCTTTTTAATTTAATTTAATATTTAAATATTTGTTGTGTTCTTAGTCATTATTTCTATCTGTCAAAAAAACAAAATATGAATGAGTGAGTCTTTATTTTCAATGTTAATTGTTCATTTTATTTTTAGCAAAATATTTAAAACATCATTAAATTAAAAAAATAATCACTTCAGTGACTGAAGTTCAGTCAGTCAGTCAGTCAGTCAGACTGTCAGTTCAGTTAGGTATTTTTTTTCTTTAAAATTCTTCCCAACGCCTGGACTATTTATTTTTTACACCTACCAAAACTCAACTTTTTCCTGTTGCCAGCAGTTTGAGTTTGGAAAGAAATTTCAGTACTATTTATTATAAAATTTAAACAATATTTATGCTAAAAATTAGGTAGTTAGAAAAAAGTTATTAGTAATAATAAATGAGTATAAAAATAAATAATCTAATATATATATATATATATATATATATATATATATATATATATATATATATATATATATATATATATATATATGTAATATAATACAATAATATAAATAAATGAATTTTATTTTATATTTTTTTTCGTTTTTTAAACTAAAATCTAATTTAGTTAAATCTAACTATATAACTTTTTTTTATAGCTATTAATTAACTTATTAAAATAATAAATAATTTAATTATTATTCTTCTTTTTAAAATACTAACATCAATTTTTAGAGAAAAGTAAAATGTTTTAAAATTTCATGCTGAACCAATGATTTAGTAAAATTACTTTCTAATTAAAAAAGTTTAGCCAATATTGGGTTGTTATCTGATAATAATTGATGTTTTATTACAATTAAAATTTAAAATATATTAAATTAATTAATTAGTTAATTAATAGGATAGAAAAATTAATCATTTATTTTTATTTAAATAGTTTCCTTACCCAGGGACTATTAAAATAAAATAAATAATATTTATTGAATTAATTATTTGCATAAATATTGTTCAAATTTTTACAGTTGAAAACTGTACAATTTGGGCTTAAATTTTTGGTTTGTGATAAAGTCCAAAAAAAACGAATTGAAGTCCAAGAAGAGGATGGATATTGAAAATATATGTGTCATTGTTCCAGATAACTTAATTTCAGTCAACTTAGTTTTATCTTCCAACTCACCAAATGAAGCATTGATACATTCTTCCAAACGAAGTCAATCGATGGATAGTGGTATAACTCCAGACTTTGATTCAAATGATGTTGTTCCAGGACTGCATAGTAAGTACACATCTAAGCATTCAATCAAAATTGTCTCACCTCTAGTCGACATTGCCTCAAGATCCACTGACAACATCACAACTTCAGATGAATTAAATTTTCAGAGATCATCAGTGGCCTCATCCAAGTCGGCAACAGTTGTGAATAATCAGCCTTCTCCTGCTAGCAGTGACAGTGGGGACAGTGCAATAGTCGTGTCCTCGCCATTGTCTCACTACTTCAACACAGTGCATCGAGCAAGTATAGTTGGAAAACAAGTGAGAAAACAAAACTTGGACCACAAGCGAAGTTCTAGCTGTGATCATATGACAATAAATTTTAGCACATTGTCTAATAAAGCTTCAAATGTTTGTGCAAAGAATGCTAATAATTCAAACAATAAAGTTGTTCGTTCGGTTGATAGTAAATCTGTTTTGCCACATCTGAAGCCATCAGATATTTCTGTTGGGATCATTTCAAACAGTAGCTCAACAGACAATAGTAGTAAAATATCACTCCCTAATCATAATGACTCATCACTATCCTCAACATCTTCCACGTCCACCTTAACAAATGTCAAAAAAGTTAAGCAGTCAAGTGGAATTGTTTTTAAAGCCCCCAAAACAAATCAATCGTCATGGTTATTGAGGTTGTTCGAGTCCAAATTGTTCGACATGCCTATTGCCATACAGTACTTGTTTAACTCAAAAGAACCAGGAGTGCAATCTTATATTGGTTGGAGCTCTTTTGTATTTGAATCCATTATCAATTAGCAGTTTCAATATTGTTGCATTTTTTAATAAATTACTTTTTAAATGTTGTTCTACATCAAGTGATTTAAAATTGAAATCAATTTTCATTGTTAACTTTTTCAGAAAAGGTATTTTAAACCTCAATCTTCCTTGTTTTTAAATTTGGAATGTTAGATTGCTCTGAATCATGCTGGTTTGGAATTTTTTTAAATGTTGATAAATGATTTCTTATCTATAAAAGGTAGTAGGGATGATTCAAGAAACTGGTAGTTTACATTTTAAAATATAGCTTGAACTATCTTTTACCTTCTCTGAAATAGTTATGAATCAAAATAAGCTAAATAACAATTGTATTCAAATAACCTTGAGTACCAACATGAAATCACAATAAAATGATAGCTTGTTGATGAATTAATAATAGCAAAATCTAATGTTTGTTCATCATTTAATAACAATGAACATTTCAATCTTTACAAATGTGTTGTTCACATAAAAATGAACAGCTGTGCTATTAGTGTTTGTAATAGGCCTACTGTTTTCTGAGCGTTTGTGTGTGTGTGTGTGTGTGTTGTGTGTGTGATGTGTGTTGTTTCTTTCTGTTTATGTATGTTCTGTTCATGTTTCCGTTGTATAGGCTCAATACGTTTGCGTTGATATTTTTGTTGATGCGTTAATTTAATGATATTTATAACATGGAGTTAGCAACTTATTCATTTTTTGGTTCAGTATGATTTGTTGGGCATTTTCTCTGTCCATCATTAAGGCTTATTTATTTGATATCATTAATATTTCATATGAGCTCTATTGTTATGTTCATAAACTCTAACTTATGAATTACAATTGCTGGCTGGTGTTGTTCATGACATATGTAAGGAAATTATTGCATTAATTACCAACATGTGAAAGGGCAATTAATTGTGGTTCTTGCTCATTTATATATTAATTGTACCAATTATTTTTTTCATTTTCTTTTTGGCTAATTCTGTTCTTATAACTTCCCATATCTTATAAATTATATTTGTTTATTCTGTAAATGTAAGCTGTCTCCTAAGAGCAATTTTGCTCACCTGCATTTGTTTGGGGCTTGAGTTTTAAATTTGCTCTTTCAGCAGGAGAGCTATTTATTTGCATCATGTTAATCTGCGTTGTGAAGGCCAGCATGGGCAGCAATGTTCTGTTGTTTTGAGAATTTTTTTTGGTGAAACATTGCGACAGTCAAAGTAAAGTTTATATATGATATGCATGCAATTATGAAATTAGAATGATATTGTAACCACAGTCGTAATTCAATTATAATTACAATTTTAAATCATTGCAGTTAAGCAGAGTTCAATGTTGAACTCACAATGTTGAAGTCAAAAACTGAGTTCACATTAGGTGAAGTTATGGAATGAACTTCTTGCTATATGCTCATTTTTTATTTTATTTGTTAATAAATATAATTGTCCTGACTGAATGATAATGCTATTTTTTAAGGTTTTTAGTGCCATTTAGGTTATTATGAATCGCCGAACTGTCTTACATATATATACACTCACTCAAATATGTTAATCATGGTTTAGGTTTTGTGTATAAAACAGATGGATATGAATATGAAAGGTTGATGGTGTTGGTTAGTGATGACTAATATTTAATACGTTTTCATCCTACCAGGCAATCGAATGTTTTCGTTTGACCACAAGCTGGTCGACTTCTACCTACCACAACTCCTGACTATGTACATATACATGCACGATGTCGCTGAGGTTTTGCATCCTTATCTTGTTTACAGGTTTTTAGTTGTTTGTTCTAATGTCATTTCTGTCATTACTGAGTTATGCTAAAATGATGTTTATTGTAAGTCATAATTGGAGCTGACATCATTTCTTTAGTTGTTATTGTTAAATTGGCTGACATTAGTTGGATGCATAGGTAGGTAGGTGGTATCTTATTCAATTTTGTTTTGTATGTGTAATCACGTTGTTATACTTTTGCTTTAGCTCATGTTATTTTTCATTCCATTTGTTGTATTTGAACTAGAGAGCAAGGTCAACAAAAACATTCCATTAACTTGTGCATTATATCTTGTGGAAATATTCTGTTTGGCATGATATTTTAATGTGTGATTCTGATTTCTTTTAAACTTTTAAACATTATTTTGATATGCTTCAATGATATTCATTGATTTAAAGTGTAAACAAAAATTTATGCGTTAATATATGTCATACAAGCTTGCACACATTTGTAAAGATCTACGTATATATATATATTTGTATGATTTTCAGATGTCGCAACAGCATCTCGTTCAGCTTGACAGTAGCCTGGTTGTTGGGAGCATTTTCACCGGAAGTCTCCAAGCCCAACTGGAAGAATTCTCAGGGACCAAAATTGAGGAAGATGATATTAGCAGAGGAGTTGAGGTTTGTTTCTGATGTCTGACCCGTCTTCAATTTATATTTTTTTCAAGTTATTTGTTTCACTACTATTATGAGTTTGTTGTTATTTTTTTATTTCACTGTTTCCTAAACTTTTAAGATATTGGTTTTCCTAAAAAAAAACATTCGTTATGGTCTCTGCCTTCATGACTTTTATTGAAGTTTATGACTTTTTTGCCCATTGCACTATTTTTTCGCATTTTTTCAATGTTTAACGTTTTTTGATTAGCCACACTCTTGGATCCACCCACAGTTCCCCAGTTAATTAGTTTTTATTAATGAAAAAATTCTATATAGAAGGGTTGCTTAGAAAATATTTTCTGTAAATTGTATTATTTAGTAGATATAAGCACCAAATTAGGAAACAATTTTCTCTGATTATTATCTTGATATTCTTAATTTTATTTACCGTAATTTTGCTATTTAATTGTTATATTTTTAGCATCATCTGTTGAATGTATATATAGTTTTTCTTCATAGGCTTTTATATAACTGCTAATTTTTCAACTTTCTCTTCTGCATAGTCATTTGACATCAGACATTCATTTTATAATTGGTTATAATAAAGACCAAAAAAGGGGGTCACGTGTCTTGTCATGTATCAGCTAGCCAGCCAGTACATTTTATTGTACCATTATATATTTATTAATATGTGCCTATATCAATATGTGATGCTTATAAAATAGATATTTATATAACCATACATAATGACTGTATGTTTAATTTTGCAAACATATATATATATATATACATATACATATGCAAAAGCTGGAAGAAGATTATATTTTATACAATATTGTATAAATTCTGTCAAATCGTTGGTATTTAGAATGTTGGAAGGAGATCACCATATTTTATACAATATCATATGGATTCTACCGAATTTTTGGCATTAAAATAGATAATTAAATATATTCAAACTTTCCTTCCTTGCGCTCATTCAACTGTCAAATTGTACTTTGTTGTATTTCTTAAAAAAATTTTTAAAGTTCAAAATTTGTAGCTACAAACAAACGAATGTTAGCTTAATGTTTGAAACAACATGTGTCATCATTTTTGTGGGTTACATCTTTTTAGTTTCACACACACACACACACACACACACACACACACACACACACACACACACACACACACACACACACACACACACACACACACACACACACACACACACACACATACATATACACACACACACACACACAGTGCATGCACATAGAGAACATCAGTTTCAGCTTCTACTTTGCATGCACTCATGTAATAAAACAACATTGATTCCTTATCATTAGCCATTCTATTTTTGTTAATGATTTTATGATCCATTCATTTATCCATTTGGAAAAATGAATGGAGTTGGAGGAACTTGAAGTGAAGTTGTTTTCATGTGGTACTTTTTATTTTGAGATGTATTGATGATGATGTTAAATGCAGTCATCACTGCATGGCATACTTTGTCACTGATAGTTTTAATTTCTTTCATGTAATGAGGTTCATGCAAGTTTATGCATGCACTGCCAATTTATTTAATCAACCTAAACATTTATGTAAACATTTTACAGGCCAACTCAGAAAGAGATTTGTTCATCAACTCAACAACAAGATGATGAAAACGTCGCAACTCCAACTAACAACGTCACTGCAACAACTCAAATTCTCTCCTCCACATCAACCTCATCATCGTCAACAATTACATCGATCAACCGAAAAATTCACCAAAGATCTTGGTCAGATGCTTCAGGTTGAATAATTATTTTTATTATTCTTGTTATTACTATTATATCGTCATTATTATTATTACTATTATTACAAATCTTTTATTACCATCTTTTTATGTTTGTTATTGACTAATAAACTATTTTTTCATATCATCAGTTCATCAGTTAACGTTGTTTTTCAAATTATAAAAATAAGTTGAAATCATTACAAGAAACCAAAGGTTGAATGTTTAGTTGAGCTGTACATAATTTTTCGAGGATTTCGGTTCTCAATGCAATATGCTTATTTCAAACTATTGATTGCCAGCCAACCATGATTCATACAATTTTTTTTTATCATTTTGCACATAAACAATAATGCTCAGAAACACACTTAAATGTCAATCTACCTATCCATCTATGAATGCACATGTATTGCATGGGTACGTTGCATGTAACATAGTTTAGATTAGTTTTTTTTAGTTAAGGAATTGAATGTAATATAAGAAAATGATGATAAACATATATGAACGAACAGGCTTGATGTTAGCTTCCATGCACAGCAATGCAACAGCCAACACAAACATCATCGGTGACTTGAGCACGGGTCGTGCCTTCCACAGTGGATGCACATGCAACCACCAACAGCATCCACAACTTCAAAACAGCTCGTTGTCTGGTGCAGAGAGTGGCATAACAGATTTGGTGGGTGAAGGATGGGTTGATCAGTGCAGGTGTGGAGCACCTCGACTACAACCTCAGCTTGAATTTGTCAATGCACTCATGAACATCGGCAAGAAGCTCTCCACTTTGCCAACGAAGGAGGCTCGAAGTAACCAATATTTCTTAATTTTTTCTATTGCATTTTTAAAAAATTTAAAAGTTTTGATTATAATTTTTTTACTATTACTATTTTTTAGTTTTGTGATTAAGATTTTTTACATTTTCAAGCAACGAGGTTGATAGCGGAGTTGTCATTGTTGAATTTGAACCTACCGTCTCGTGTTTGCCTGCCCATTCATGAGAGGTGCGATCATTTGGTTGTTCGCATCCCACACACTCAGGCTGTTGTTCTGAATTCCAAAGAAAGGGTGAATCAATTAATCAATCATTGGATATTCATTTAATATTTTTTCTTTGAAAACTTTTTATGTCTTTGATGAAAAATATTTATTATGATGAAAGGATTTCAGTGGGCTAATGATGTATAAATGATGACTTGCTGGCATTCAAACAAACTACATCCATAACTACTTCCCGGTTTAATATTTTTATGCCTTACATTACAACAGAAGTGATACTGTTTTGTGTATTTTATCAACAAAACGTGATAGAAATCAGAGTTGTTAACAATACTCAAAAATTGTACCGCCAACACTGATACCAATACTAGCTTTTAAATATATTGCTGATACTAAATCCCATGTTCAATCTTTGAGGTTTTGCCGGCAATACCAACACTAATACTTTTTTATGTTTAATATTTTAAACGGTGCTACTTAAAAACAGAACTAATATTTTATTGATACTAATGCATTCGGTAGTTAATATATAACAGAAATGAACTCATAACAATAAATTGTTTGAATCAGCGGTTAAAAAACAATCTTTTACAATCAAACATGCAAAAAATGAGAAAACATAATTTTGAATCCCGTATTTACTAATCAGAAAACGCGCTGAATTTTGAACGTACATTTTTTTTTATCATGTTTGTGTTGAAATCGACTTCCATATATAACGTATAAACGAATACAGTGAAAAAGTAATGCTAAGCAAGAAATATATGTAAATATAAGATATTTTACATAAGAAATGATTTAGAGAAAATATTCTTTTTTATATTCTGATTTGAAAATTTGTTGGCCAGGATATTAAGATGACAAAAGAACTGCACAATCATCTTGAATATCTTGTGTAATTTTTTATATTGTTATAAAGTTTATATGATTCACTGGCAATTAATCAAACAATACAAATAGAAATTGTGTTGTTGTAATTGTTGGATTGGAAGAAAGTTGCAGGACCTTGTTCTTGCCTGTCTGGTGATCCTCACTGTATTGAGATTCTATTGAGATAAACTGTTAAAACCAAGATATATTTTTCTAAAAAAGTTATTGATGAAGTTTTCGTTCTATTAAAATTTTTTTGTTGGTTTGTATTTTATCATTTCCATGTTGTATTTTCTGACACAGGCCCCATATCTGATATACGTGGAAGTCCTTGAATGCGAGAATGTCTACGTAGCTCCCCTTCCAAATAAAATGTTTCAAAATTCATCTCCATCCTCAAACTCTTCACTCAGTCGATCCAGCGACGACCTTTCAAAGACCGCAACAATATCAACAACGACAACAACTACAAACACGTCTGCAGGTGCAACGACAACAGCTGTTAGCGCAACTTCTTCATCCACTACGACCACAGAATCAGCTGATAAATCTTCAAAGCCTGACATGATCATTCCTTATTACATGGGCCTCTCTGAGTTCGATGACAACGAGTGCTGGTCCCAAGAAGATGATGACATCATACAGGTGACCATCCTTACTTTTTCTTTGCATTGCCATTAATTAATGAATTAATTAAAAAATATACAAGCAGCTAGGGCTGCTTGTATATTTTTTAACGTTCGTTTTTACTAAGCTTACAAATTATAAAAATTTAAACGCTGATAATTTTAGTTAAAGAATAAATTTCTGTTGATTGAAACATCTGCTTGTTTGTGATTTCTTATGACTTGATTAAATGAATGTTTTTAATTTTATATAAATGAATGTTTGCCATGTTTGAATGAATAAATGAATGAGTGAGTGAGTGAGTTAGTGAGTGAGTGAGTGAGTGAGTGAGTGAGTGAGTGAGTGAGTGAGTGAGTGAGTGAGTGAATAAATGAATGAATAAATGAATGAATAAAGGAATAAATGGACGTATGAAGAAATGCATGAACCTATTACTGCAATTACATTTTAACGTTTTTTTAATGTTATTTCATGCTGGAGATTATTATAATTCATGAAAGTCAAGTGAAAGATTAATCTCACATTTGAACAGCAATTCCACATGAAGTCAAAATGTTCCCTGGACACGATATCGCAATTCTCCATCGATAGTTCAGCCTCAACAGATAACAAGGAATCATTGTACATTGCCGCCAGTGACATTAGGAAGAGATTGTCTGAGAGTATTAATACTCCTCGAAAAAAATTTGAGGTGATTATCTTTCAAGCAATAAAACCTTTGCATTATGTTTATAATTATATATATATATATATAGCGTTATTCTGCAAACTATATTTAGGTCTATAGATCATTCGACCCGTTTTGATTTTTTATTCATTAACTTGTCATTTTCTTGTTTTTCAATTTAAACTTTCAAAATTACTTGATTAAGACTCAAATCACAATTTTCTTTCTTCACATTCTACATAAAGTTTGACATATTTAACTTATGAACTTTTATACCTATTTTGTTTTCATTTAAAAGTTTTTTTGGTTGAATGCCTTATTCTTTAACGCATTTATTTACCGATGATTCATCATTGTAAATATATCATATGGCTTTGATTCATCTTGCATTGTATCTCAACATACTTTTAATTTTCTATCACCACATGTTTTCTCTTATGTCAGATTTACATTCAAATTTTATTCGCTAGATCATTTTCATTTGCTTCTTGTATTTTCATGAAGTTATTACTATAGGAACGCCATTCGAGATAATAACTGTTGAAATGATTTGTTTCAAGCGAGATCCTGAAGACCCGTCGGCAGCGGCAATGAAGGAACCTTGGGAAGAGAAGGTGAACAGGATCCGAGATAACTCACCATATGGACATCTGTCCAACTGGAAACTTCTGCCGGTCATCATCAAATGTGGCGATGATTTGAGGCAGGAGTTGTTGGCCTACCAATTTCTTACTAAACTTAAGGTCCCTTTCCACATTTATTTTCACATTTCGGTCCTGTTCCATCTAGTTGTACGCCTGTTTAATTGCATATCATTATTATTACACATATTTTTAAAACATAACTGATGATCTTATTAGTAATAGAATTAAGATTGAGCCACTGAGCAATCTTCTCACTTGTACAACTCATTGTTGCAGGCCAGTCAGTAATCACCATAACCAATTAACATGAATGAATGAATAATTAAATATAGGATTGATCATCGTTGCAGATGATCTGGGAGAAGGAGCATCTGGCACTGTGGTTGCGGCCATACAGGATCCTGGTGACATCAAGTGACAGTGGCATGATTGAACCCGTACTCAACGCGATATCCGTGCATCAGGTCAAGAAGAACAGTCAGATGTCACTCTTGGATTATTTCGTCCACGAGTTTGGACCTGTGACGTCAGAGGAGTTTCTGCAGGCGCAGCACAATTTCGTGCAAAGTTGTGCCGGCTATTCACTTGTTTGCTATCTGCTGCAAGTTAAAGACAGGTGCTTCTACTTCTATTTTCGCTTTCACGTTTCGTAATTTTTTTTATTACATTCAAACATTTACACTATCGATCCATTCAATGGTTTATTCATCTATATATTCTTTCATTATTCATCTGTTCCATAATTGATTGTTTGTTTGTACGTATGTGCTTTCACAGACACAATGGAAACATCTTACTTGATTGCCACGGACACATCATACACATCGACTTTGGCTTCATACTCTCTATATCTCCTGGCAAGAATCTGGGATTCGAGACATCTGCATTCAAACTGACCAGAGAGTTTGTGGAGGTTGTCATTTCTGTTGCATAGCTGTTGTTCCAGTGCTTCTTGTTATTGTAATGTTAGCACTGTATATACATGCAGACATTTAAAAATGTTAATTTTCGTGTTTTTATGATTTTTTCTACAGAATTCAAACTTTTCTATTATTGAAATATCATTATTTCTATAGTCTTTAACATCTTTATCTCATAATTTTCTGTATTCTTGTAGCAACGTCATAGTAATATAGTAGGAGAAACTTTGGTAGTATAGTCATGACCATCTAGCGTTCACGTATTCTATGTAGGTCATGGGTGGTCTGCATAGCGACATGTTTGAGTATTATAAGATCCTGATGCTGCAAGGATTGGTGGCTGCTCGAAAACAAATGGATGAACTCGTTCCTCTCATCGAAATTATGCAGTCAGGTTTGTTGACTGGTGTGGATTTGTTTGTTTGCCTGCTTGATTGATTGTTTGCTTGATTGTTTGTTAGATTGATTGTTGGATTGATTGTTTGATTATTTGTTTGTTTGTTTGAATGATTGTTAGTTAGTTAGTTAGTTTGTTTGATTGATCAATTGATCATCTCATTTGTTGAATGATCCGTTTATAAATTTGTTGACCATTTAGATTAGTTTTTTTAATTTTATTTATTAGTAGTTTAGCTCGTTAGCTGATCAATTTATTCATCCTTTACAAAATAATTCTAAATAATACTAAATAATCCACAAACCTGAAGCTAAATATTTTCTAAAGTTTTATTTGCTATTAGAAGACCATTATGAACCATCTAACGTTATGAAGCTGAGAATTTTACAACATTTCGAATGGTTCAATAATATTTTCTAATTTTGTCTCGTGGAAACTGTAGTTACTATCAAACTTGTCATTGTCTTCAATAAACCTCCAACTTTCCAATTATTAAATTAATTATAATTTGTAATTATTAATAATCAATTATAATAAATTAATCATGACGATGACCCACCGCTAGGTTCTCAGCTGCCATGCTTCGGACGAGGAGCGTCCACGATAAAGGGCCTGAGGGATCGCTTCCACATGAATCTGACGGAGGAACAACTGCAACTACAAATTGATAGCATGGTCGACTCCAGCATCAACTCGCTGACTACCAAACTCTACGACAACTTTCAATACTACACCAATGGCATTCTCTAATAACTCATTTATTTATTTATATGTATATATATTTATTTGTTTCTTCTTTTAAAATTTTTTTGCTTGCTCGTTTTTTTAACGTTCAACGTTTTACCAACCGTCAATCAAATAGTACACGAACGAAGACTCAGTGCAATGTACTAGCGAATTTATGGGTGGAAATAGTGAAGATATATATTATATATATAAATATGATTTATATAACGTAGATTGTGCTGTTAATGCGTATGTACGTATGTAAGTGTATGTATGTTTAATAATAGTTCCATCTCATTTCACATTTTTGACATCATGAACGCCTACGTGTGCTGACGAGTTATTTTTCATTATGTGTGTGTGTCCTCGTAAGTATCGACGACGCTCATCCATTATACTCTAATGATGACGACCTCCAATCATTATTGATGGTACTTTTAACTGGATGTAAATCGGCGGAGAATGTAACGTCACAATATACCTAACGTAACATAATATCAACTTAGCATCATTGTGATGTTACATCAAAACAGCTTAACATCAACGAACTCTCGCCTTGTCTTTCCTCTACCATAATCTTCTCATCACACGGAAGTCCGTTAAACGTTTAATATTTTACTTTGGTTGGCTGCCTAATCAACCTACCCCAACTTTATCTCTTCATAATTTTAAGTGACTGTTTATATATTTTGAATTCGCTGAAGTTAAAATTTCTATTCATATATGTATATATATTTTTGCATTGCAAATACGTATTTTTCTACCCGTAGTATAAAGGAGAAAACAGTTTAATTCAACATTTCAGACAAATTACGAACTTTTTAGTATTGATTGATTATTGACTTTTTGCTTCACAGATTCAGATGGATTTTCAAATCTAAATATTTTTGGGAACAATTAGATAACTCTACTTATTTATTTTGTTGTGCTTATTTGAACTATATTTAATAACTTTTCCTCTGTATCTTTGTATCATGTATCTCTCATATATCTTCCATTTCTTACCAACTCACCTAGCTTCCTTCTTTCAATTTGAATTTATCTTTGAATGGGTTGGTATTAGTTTTTCACTTATGTCCTTAAATTGAAAACTTGCTTTATCGTGTTATAATTCATGAGGAATTAACTCTGCACTCTATATATAATTGCTATTTATTTTGTCACTGAGCCATTATAACTCTATTATGTAATCTCTCAAGAGCGCTTGCAAACGTGTACGTATATTACTTCTAGTTAATCTTATTGATATTTATTGATTGATTGAGTGATTGATCGATTGAGTGAGTGAGTGAGTGAGTGAGTGAGTGAATGAATGAATGAATGATTAATCGATCGATCGATTAATTGATTGATCAATCTGATGTAACTGTAATGTATTGATCAGACAACTTCATGTATGTCAGATATCTGTCAGCAATTATATAATTATCACATGTCTTTTATTTTGAGAGGAAAGCATTGTTTGAAATAGTGTTGGAATGGTGTACGTAGATCGTCAGTTGGAAGTTTTGAAATGTTACAAACTGCTTACAAATCGTATGTTTAAACTCATTTATTTTTAGTATCTATTAATCTATTTAAACGATGATAATTCAAAAGCATTTATTTGTTCTTAAATGGTTGGACTCACGCACGTGTACATAGTTACATTCGTAGTCACTGGAGATATATTCACTTTGAAAAGCACCATCAAAATTATTATTACATCTTTTCACTTATTCTTCATTTTGGTCTGATGTTTATTTTTGGATTTGTCTATATTTTTATTCTGATTCGCCTATTTTTTCTGACAAATTATTTCATGCATTTTATCAAATGTAAAAGTTAAATAATTCGCGTCAATGTTTATATTCACCGATGGTGTTGTTTATTTATCAAATGTTTTTGTTGTATCTTGTATAAAAATGTTCAGTTCCGTTGGTTGTATAACGAAGCTTAAAAAATTATATGCATTCATGTTTTACGCGTTTATGTTTAACTGTTTGTGTCCTAAATAAGCTTTCGATTAAAACATAATGTATACCAACTTTATCCAAATCTATCTATCTATATATATATATATATATATATATATATATGTATATCTGTATATATATATGTATATACATATATATATATATAATATATATATATATATATATATATATATATATCTGTGCTTGCTTGTTTATAATTTATGTTTATGTTGTGTTGTAACATTTTAAGCTTTAATGTATTCTTAAACTTATTATGCTTAAATTTTCGATATCATTATTATTTATTACTTACCTACTTATTCTTCGTATTAAGATTTTAATATGATGGTTTTAATTGTACAAAGATATTTTGCTCTAAGCCTGTTTGTATTATTACACGGAATCGATCGTAAGCTATTATTATTAATTATGGACTAACGTAAGTTGTTATTTTACCAGGTTACCTTTTCTGATCTTTCGTTAACTTTTAGTTGATTAATTAAATAAATTGAATCAGTTAATAGCAAATTAATTTGTTGATACAGGTTAACAAAATTTATTAAATTATTCAAAAATTTACCAAGCACTGGAAAGCAAGCGGTTAAATTTTATACCTATCAAACGAGCCCCTTCAAAACCTGAACTATCATTATCTCTCATCAAATAATTTTGAGTCCATTAACGCTTTACTTCTTATTCCCACCCATCCACCCACACACTACACACACACATATACACACACACACATATATACACACACACGAGAAAGCTTGAAAAGTTTGTTTAACAGATTTTCCTGTTTGATGTAGACATGTTTTTTACAAAATACAAATGTTTATATAATTTTTGACACTGTAGTGATTAAATATTAAAAAGTTGGAAATTAACTGATAGATGAAAAATTAAAAGGGCGGCATCAATGAGACGATGCCGAGCAGCAGAGAACTAGAAGAAAAATTCGCCACTTGGGATCCTCGCACGGTTTCTCAGGTGAATAACATTATTAATTTGAAAAATATATAAATAATAAATCATGGATGCCGGCTAGACCGGTCGGGTACAGCTCGTAAAATTTAAATACAACCAAACCAAATCTTTCACTTGAGAGTTTCTGGTTACAGAAGTTTTGGAAGTTAACAAATTTAAAGTAAAATTGAACTTGTTCCGTACTACTTATCCGCTCTAATTCGCATGTTTCTTTTTGCAGAGAAGTATGTATATATGCGTAATTGCAATGTTTTTTAATTCGCGGCAATACATCGATGGAATGTGGAATGAATGCAATAATTCACACCCATTCCTGACAGATTGTCAGTCCTACTTTCTGCTCTCACGTCCAACCAATAACTTATTGTTGTAGTTTATTGACATTTTGGCACTTTCAAGCAATTGTTCTAAATATAATAGGATATCATTGCAATTTTTTTTGTCCAAATAGAATGAGTTTCTTTACTTTCGAAACATACATAAGCATGAAAAACTCATGGGTAAATCTGAACTTGTACTTGGAATTGTGCACAAAAATATTTCATGCAAAGACATGTAGAATTTATTTTGTTCCTTTAAAACCACAATAAATTGCGCTGTTAACACCAGTGCAAAACTATTGAAGGATTCTAAATTTTGTTTTCGTATTTCTTCAAGTTGGAACTTTTTGCAAAATATGTTTGCTAAATTTGAAAACATCTGTATGTATATACGTTATATACGTTTGTTCACAGGAGTAGAGGACCAAGATGAAGCATAATTACTTGAATATGCGGACCTCATTATGATAATGCGAATGTATGAGACTTTTTAATTTCCCGAAGGATTATTATTCTTATTGTTTTAATTTTATATCACCAAAGCACACTCGCTGAAGAACACAATGCCAGTAACACTAATCTCATTCTTCTCTTTTAATTAGTTAGTCATAGGGTGGTAAAAATGTTTCAATTACGTATATTATATTTTTGTAAATTTCAAAATTATATGTCTCTATGTTAAAGTTACCAGCAAAGGTTGTACGTAGAGTTGAAAATCGTGACAACAACCACATTAAATGATGTTTCTCCACCTCCGCATCGTAGGAGAGGATGATACACGCTGATATCTCCATGCAAATAAAATATGCTTCCCTATGAATATTTTTTGCTTGAACGTGCTTGAATTATTCAAGAGCAATTTTTTTGCTAGCTGTTTTGTTAAAAATTTTGAAAATTGAGCAAATATTATTAAAATTCAAATGCAACGTTAGTTTTTTTGCTCTCTACAAGCAATAAACATTTGCAGAAATATTGATTTTTTCCATATATTGTTCATGTTTATTTTCGTAAATTGTGTTTGGATGGTATTGCTCTTTCATAACTTGAAATTTTCATTCTCCTTGGAAAAATTATAGATTTAAGTAACTTAGGTTATAGGCGTAGTTATGTAATAAAAAAACTGGACATGGAGACAAATCAGTTTCACTTAAAATCTACCAAGCGTATTGTAGTGCAGAGATGACGTTATTGAAAATGGTTGTCAAGCAGACTTTTGTTGTCGTCTTCTAGGTTCTTCTTCTTCTTTTTTTTCTTTTTCTTCTTCTTTTTCTTCTCGTGCCTTATCCTTTTAGAATATTGACGACCATCGATCTTCACAAAACTAGATCTTTAACACTTTGTAGTAGTTGAAATGGGATAATATTCAACAAGTGACACAAGGACTTCACGAATGTTATTCGTTTTTGACCGCAATCTCTTCTCCCAGCAATCTTTTCAGTAGTTGTTAGATTTTCAGTTCTTTCCTTCCGCATGATGTGACCAAAAAACTCTAACTTCCCCCGTCGGACTATCTGTATTAATTTCCTCTTTTCATAACCGGAATGTTTTAATACAACCCCATTCGAAGTATGAGAGGTTCAACTAATTTACATAATTCTTCTCAAAAATCACATCTCAGCAGATCTAATCCATTTTTCCATTTTTTTAAAAATTGTCCATGACTTAGAACCGTAAGTTAGCACAGGAAAAATGTAACATCTTAACAGTCTTAATTGTGTTGATATTCTGATTTTAGTGTTGGCGAGGATGTTTTTTCATTTTAGAATATGCATCTTATGCCATAGCTATCCTTCGTTTGATATCCATATCACATTTATAACCTGAAGTAATCAGACTTCCGAGATAATTGAAGCTGTTGACTTGTTTCACCTGTTTGCCATTAATGATTATGGAGCAGGTTGGGGCGGTTTTCCTTTTACTGATAACCATGCACTTTCTTTTGTTGATGCTAGTTTGCAAGCCTTTCCTCTCACTTTCAAAAACAAGTTTGGAAACAATTGTTTGCAATTCTTCTATTGATTCCGCTATAAGAATTTATAGCGGAGTTTACGTTTTTAAGAACTTTAAAAGTGATTAGGATTGGTTCGTTGCGTTGACAAGTATTTTTTCAGCCAGCCATATGTTTAAATTGTTTAAAAATATTTTATGTGATCTTAAAAAACTAAAGTGACTAGCTGGGGAAAATGATCAGTAATTTTGGATTTGCACCTTTTCCTGGGAGAGGCCAATTTTTTAAATTTTTGTTATAATGTACGTTGGTTGGTGTATCTGATAGAAGAAAATAAAAAAGTAAACTAAGAAAATATTACCAGATTTAAAAGAGTTTAGCGTACTTATAAACACACACACGCGCCTGTGTGTCTTGAAAAATAAATAAATAGATATTATTAAATAATTTATTATCATAACATTGTATGTATATAAATTCGGAATTGGAAAACCTTAAGTATCAACATGAATAATAATATTTTTGTTATTGCGACAACTTATTATTGTACTATTGCCACGATACGACATCCATTTGAATAATTTTAAGTACAACAACACAAATTCCTTCTTCCTTCTGCACTTTCAAGTTTCAAGTATGTAGTACACAAAATTGAAACGGCTTGAGCAACTGACTTGACATAATTTATATATCTATGTACACCTATATACATACCCACACACGCACACACACACACACACACACACACACACACACACACACACACACACACACACACACACACACACACACACACACACACATACACACACACACCACACACACACACACAAACAAGTACATCAAACATAAGAAATGAATATAGAACGCAGTACATACTTGAAATGCCCAAAAAATGCTTTAAAAGTATTATAATAAGATACTAAATAAAAAAAATTATTGAAATATCATCAATCGTATGATAATTTAACAAATTTTAATAATCACATAGATGTGTATATTGTGAAATGAAAAAAAAGACAGGCAGAAGGATTATTTCGTAAGAGTTTCATTCACGGTACAGAGTGACACGTGATTCAACCCTGTAGACAACCTCCTTAGCTGTTGGTGGTCCTTCAAACTGTTTAGCTGCAAATGTTGCTGTTGGCTCGTTGATATTTCTCCTTCTCCTTCTTCTACTCGTTCGTTGGCTGTTGCAGCTGTTGTTGCTGCCATCGTTGTTGCTTCACTGATCTCATTCATGCACCCCGGTTCATTGGCCGCCTTCTGGAAAACACCTCCAATATGACCATTTGTTTTTTCCACTTCTTCATAATTTGGCGACACTTGTTGTAAAGGGGATTCAATGTCAAGGTCTCCCTTCATTGGATCGCCATCGTTCAACTTTAAAAGGGGCAACTTATGGAGTGACCTTCTTGGGTTGTTTGATTTCCTGAGACGACGAGGACCAAGATCTGAAAGGTGACGTTGCATTAGTTTCGTTGTTGACGCCGTTGGTGAGGCTGTTAACGCCTGAACTGGTTGTCTTGTTGGCGTTGCGACCGTGATAATTGTGGTGATTTCCTGAGTGTGCTTTTCTGTTGTTGGGTTATTTGATGTTTCTGTTGTTGGGTCATTTGATGTTTCTGTTGTTGGGTCGGTTGGTCCTTCCGTTTTACCGTTACCTGTCGTGGTTGTTGTTGACTGTCGTTGACTTTGTTCCAATGCGTTTGTTACTTTTTCGCTGGTGACTGTTTTAGGCGAGAGAGGGTGAGCAGATTCATTGCAGGTTTTGTTGTGTTGAGGATTCGTTAGCGGAGGCGTGGAGCAGTTTCGTTTTGATTCAACTTTATACATGTCAATCAACAAATCTAACTTGGACTCAATTTCTTCTACCTAAAATTAAAAAAAGAAAACTTGTTGTCAACAATTGAAAAATATGAAATACAATTTTATTTTGAGGAATTAATAAATGTTCAAACCTGTCTTTCAATTTTTACAATTCTGGATGCTAACGTAATTTTCGACTCATACACTGTGACTTTTTTTGTTCCAGATTTGCCTAATATCATGTCTAGTCTGGAATCAAAAATTCATATTCCAGAGTTTCTTTTAAACAATTTTGTTCAACAGTGGCAAACTAATCTCACGACAAAATTAAATTTCATATTTAATTAGTGAAATCTGTTCATAGCACCTGTTTTGTAGACTTTTAATGCGTGTGAGCATGTCCAAATTGCCAGCAGAGTACTGTTCAATGACATCTTTAACGTCGTAAGGTCTAAAGGCCTCTTTGAACTTTCTCCTAGCCACAAAAAAACTTATCTTCCTGAGAGCTCTGATTGCTCTTTTGTGGGTCTCCGTCAGTTGAGTGACTTCTTCGAGATCTTCACAATCATCTGCAAACGGAGAGTGCTTAATTTATTAAGATTTTTATTAATTTTTTTAAAACAATTTTTGAAAAAAAACCACTTCATATAATTGATACGGCGTCGTCAAACAAATCAATTCGAGTTGCACTTCATCGGTTCAAGTTACACATACTAAACCAGAATTGAATTAGTTTTTCAAAAAACATAAGCCTGATGAGCTTGACCAAGTTAAGTTAAAAAACTCTTAATAAACAAAAGTGTTGACGTGGAAAGACGAAATTGCATCACTTATCTGCCTGGAGACCTGCTCCCATGCACTTCTTCATCCACCATGATTAGATTCATATTAAGTTACAAATAATAATTGTTCTCTCTATTGAAAGGTTCTGTTTCGTGGAACAGGATAGAAAGTTTTTAGAAAATTTTCAGGCGCATATACCGGCAATAAATTAGCTGATTATTTTTATAAACTTAAACTGCTTTTTTTATGTAAATAAGATCCACTATAAGTTTTTGTAAATTTTACTTAATGTCAAAATTTAAATGTTCATATATTTTCGACTCAACGCGTTTTTTATAATAAATTATTTTATTAGGTAAATAAATTTTACATTGATAAACGCTCAACAAATAGTTTGGCAAAATATTGTTTGAACAGTAAATGAACCATAAATTATTACCAACATACATACGTAGCATCGCTAATTCAACATTAACGACTAAATTTTTAATAGGATCACATAAAATTTATTTGATTAATTAAATATATTAAAAGGAAAAAGTAGTTTTTTTCATTTAGACACACCTTCATCTTTATAGTCCCCCAGACCCCGTCTATGCAAATTGCTGCCAAACAAGTTCTGATAGTGGTGGAAGTCGCTCAAACTCAGACGACTCCTGCGTGCGTTTTGTAACAAATAACCGGCGATTATGTTGCATGCATGTGTCGGAACTGTTCAGCTAGCCATATCATTAATTAATTAACTACTTTATATTATTGTAATAATGTCATGGTATAAAATAACGCTATGGTAAAAAAGCCAAGACTAACCAAGTTAACTGTGTGATCGTAACGAATTTTTAATTTTATTTAATAACGCACGCACGGTATGTCGTAATTGTGATTTCATGTGCCAACTAAATAAAGCATGGCACCTGTTATCCGGTTCGGCGTGATGTTCATACTCCTTCTCATCAGCTGCTAGGTTGTTTGACCTGCAGAGTAAGGACCTGCTGAGAAGCATCGGCGAGTGCAGCCCCGTGATGGAGCAACTGAGGTTCAGCTGCTGCATGGCTCCTGTCACACTGCCGGCCACCACACCACTGCCGCCCGTCACGCTTACATCCTTGCGTCGTGTAGACAAGCGACTGATGAATGAGCTGTTCGTCTTGCTTTTGTGGCCGTAACTGAGGTGTGTTTGTTTATGTGTTGTTGCTGTTTATGTTTGTTTAGATGTGTTTAATTATGCTGGGTTAGTTTATACGTGTTTGTTTAGGCGTGTGCTTGTTTGTGGCAGCAATTCAAAAAGATATGAGTTACAAAAAATGTGCGCTAGTAAATACAAACAAATTTTTAAATCTTCAACATCTTCAAAAAAACATTTCTATATTACTGACAACAAATTTATTTGGATCTTTGGAATTTCATTGGATTATTTTAAAAGTTAATAAACCTAATTTTTTATCACAATTTTTAAAATGCTTATTTTTGTTTGTTGTTTTTAAATATAAACTTTACATACAGCTCTAAGTTAACCATTTTTTTTACCAAAATTTCAATATGAATTCTAACGATGAATGAATGTAAATAAAACAAAATAAAATAATTTTTTTCAATGGAAAATAATTTTTGCAATCAAATTCATCAAAATTTCTGAATGTTTTTTCATGAAAATAAATTATTTTGTTTTGTTTTCGGCATCTCATTTTATTGAAGTGGTGTCACGAAATGGCGTGCTGGATTTTGATTGTTTGGTTGTGCCTTCAATTGAGGCGCAAGATAGTCCTCTATTTAATTAATTATTTAATCGCTAATTTCTTATCAACACACGTCACGAATTGAATTTAAACGTCAGATATGTATATAAAAGATTTTTTTATTATAGTGTAAATAGAGGAACGACGCATACATGAGAATATACAGAAGTTAATGAGCAGCTTATACTCTTAACTAAATAACAAAATTTTAAACTGAATTGAAGTTTTGTGTGGTGAATAAATGATCTTAAAGTCATTAAAAATCCTTGTAAATTATATTAACTAAAATAGAACTAGACGCCTTCAATCATTTCACGCCCTGCTACCCATAAATGAAAAAACAAAAACAAAACCACAGCAAGAAAATATTGTACGAACACTGCATGATGAATATGTGTGTACGGTATGTAGAGTAGGTTATGTTGACCTCTGACCTTTGAGTAGGCTTGCATGCTTTGACGTGTATCTTCCAGGTGGCAACGGAGGAGGAAAACTCATCAGCAGCGTAGCATCTCCAGAGCGACTGGATGAGGACAGCGGCAGGTCCCTTACGCCTGATCAGATGTTTTTGTCGTTGCTGCTGCTGGACCTTCAGCGCAAAGCCTGATCCGAGTATGCCCTGCACGATTTTTTTACAAGTTCCAATCTTTAAAGTTGCGATGATAAAAAAATTCACACTCGAACATTTGCGTCAGTACACATTTTGGCTTATTTTCAACTGCTACGATGTTCGATATTGTTCACATGGCATAATTGATTAAGTTTGTTACAAGATAATAACATACGAACGCTCTCGTGTGAGTTTTTGAAAAGTTGTCGAAGAAATGAAAATTTTTCACGATTTAGTTTTCATTGCATTAAATAAAATTTAAAATTAATTTTTTTTTTTTATAAAAGTTTAATGAAGACTTAAATATTCTTTCATTTTTTTTATCGTCGAACAATAATTATTTTATGGTTTCCAAGCCATGGCTTCCCTTCAAAAACAAATCCTTTAACTAGATTTCATATTTTTCCGAGGTCTACTTAATTTTATTTTATTCAAAAAAAAATTGGGTTACAATTTTTAATGATTTTGATTGAACTTATTTGATATTGCAACAAACTCAGTAACATTTCTCTTCACCGCTGCGTCTGATCCTGTTGTTATTGTTTGTTATATTTTCAAACCCAATAAATACATGTATAATTAAACAAATTATTTATTTAAAAAGATTATAAAATTATTTTAAACAATTGTTCAAAAATCGTTAATAAAACGATTTCTATAGCATTTCCCAAGAATTAATAGAAACAATTTAAACTAATTATTTTCAATAATTTTTTTTTATTCTGTATTCTCTGTTTGCATTATGTTTTGCGGACCATAGAACAATGATGTGAGTTTCTGAAGGTTTAAACATGGGATCTTATTTTGTTACTTTGCTGTATTACAAACGCACGCACGTCATAAGTTAAAAATTAAGTTTAGAGCCAAGTGGAATACAACAGAAGTTGTTTTTAAAAGCAGTAACGTTTTAAAAAACTAAACCTTCAAATATTTATAAAGTTTCATTGATTTAGTGCTGGTGGTGCAGTCACGGGGTTCAACCGCGGACCGTTGCGATTATTTTTGTCTTGACTGCTGTCTTTTGCGCTTTTTTGTAGCGTTTGTGGGCGGTTGCGGTTTCGACAAATTCAACCACACAGGGCTTTAGCACACACACACACACGCTCAACACACACTCAAAACAGACAGGGCTTTAGCGCGCACACACACACACACACAACACACAAACACACATGAAGATTAAAAAATAACAAAAACAAAGTCCTAGTGAGTGGGTGTCATAACAAGTGTCAGGTACTTATTTAAGCGAGTGTGACCACGTGCTCCTGATGGAGTCCGTGACATTTTTTAATTTAACTAACTTTATTATTCTAAAAAAATTTTATGATTGAAAAATTAGCTTTTGTAAAAACATTTTGGATTTTTTTTCTGAATTTTTGCGGCAAATTTACGGTTTCATTTCAAATTTTTAATTTTTTAGTGATACAAAAGTGGCACCACCATTAACTGTTTATTTTTTTTAGTTAAAATTGAGGTGGCAATTAAATTAAAGCCCTATAAAAAAATTTTCCTTTTTAAGGTAAAAAATGTATTATCACGACAACATTATAATATTATAAGTAAACAGCATTTGACAGGGGGTTGAATAACTTTATGAATGGGCGGAGTTAGAAAAAGTGACAGGACGTGACGTGCAATGTGTGCAGTTGGCAATGGAAGAAAATGCTTTCTACAAGTGAGAACTTTAAACTTTTTTTTTCAAAATAACTTTTCGAAAAAAATGTTTCACGAAGCAATAAAAAGTTTTTATTATTGTCACCTATAAAATGAGTCAATTGAAATTAAAAATGGAATGGATAGAATTGGAAGGATAAAAGTGACAAATAAATTATAAAATCATACATAATATAGTAATACAATAGTAATATAGTAATACAATAGTAATATAGTAATACAATAGTAATATAGTAATACAAATTTGAAAATTCTTTTTTTCCACTGATTTCTTTTTTTTTTTTTATCATGTACGTACTTTAATTATTATTATAACACTTATGTGATCAAATCATAGAAAAATTTGGCTATTTTAAAGTATGATGGTTTCACCCTTTACTACTACTGAGAATGAAATAACGAACGAATGAATGAATGAACAAATGAATGAATAAATAAATAAATGATTGAATGAATGAATGATTGAATGAATGATTGAATATAACTAACAAAATTAGAAAAGAAACAGAAGAAGAAATAAGAGAATGAATGAATGATGGAATATTTGAAGCAGCGTAGTCCTGAAGTTCATTACATTAACGTGCCTGCTCGAACGAAACACAATGACATGATTCGATGTGAGGAGACCGATGTTACTTTGTTAATTTGATGATGGTAGGTGACGTGATGGTGTTGTTTATTTGATGTTGGAGATGATGATCGCGTTGATTTATTGATGGTGTAGTGATGCTGGCGGTGATGTTGCTTCATTCCATTGTGTTGATTGCCTCGTGTCTCAGCCACCGAAGCAAGTTTAATCCAGTGGAAACACATGTAACTGCACTTTGATGTACGTGGGCATCAAAAAATATTTCACGCAATTGTGAGTGAGAATGCCAAAGACTATACCACGTTAAACATTGCTTGGAAATTGAAAAGTGGACTTACATTACAATTTGACTCTGTGTCTTTATATATGGTTAGTCATTTTTTTCTTGCATATTTTTGTTTTATTTAATACCCAACTAACTAGAGTTGAAAAATCACTGATGTTATAATTTAAGGAAAGAAAAAATTGGCAGATTTTATTTTCATACCTCACAATATATCAATAGTTCATTCATTTAAAATTTCAAAAAACCAGACATAAAAACATTTGCCAGAGTGGCACGTAAAAAAAGTGAAACAAATGAACAAACAGCTGGCAGAGCGAAGAATGATATGCCAAGGATGGAGCACAAGGAGGCGATCAACTTCCCCGTTCCTGTTATTGGCACGCTGTCTCCGTAGCCCACGGTACACAGAGTTATCTGAAATCAAGGTATGTAATTCTTATAATATTATGTGAAATGTCAAAAAGAAAAAAAATTCTTTGAACGACAGAAATTACTATGTAAGATTTTGCTAGTTCTAAATAAGTGGTGGCAAAGTGATAGCTAATTCATTCATGTAAGAAAACGAAGTAAAAACTTTGCATGATCGCCAACATTTAATTTATCTTTTTAAAAAAAGTAAAATTAGCTAAATACTGACTACGCCCCACCACAAGGCATCGGCATACGTCCCGAACTTCTTGGGGTTCTTATCTTTCTCAGCAAGGTACATGATGAATGACGTGAATATAAGGCCAAGGAATCCGATGTAGAGAGTTGTGAACAGTTCCTTTAAATAAGTAGAGATATTCAACATCATTGTAAAATACGTCATCCCATACTTGTCAGAATGCATTCATAACTGATGTATACATATACTCGAATATATATAACGAGAATTATTGATTCGTATTGACCAACCAACAAAACAAAATACGGCAGCGAACAAAACAGTTATGTGTATTCCAAATGACGTTTATTCATAACTGATTAACAAGATATTAAGGCTTATAGGCTATTTTTTTTACATCAAAAATTCGTGTTTCATTTGAAGTTATTTAAAAATCCAGTTGCCACATGTATCATAGGTTAACCTGACACTTAGTATTTGTGTGGGAATGTTTTTTTGTATGGACACGAAATGAAGCAAAATATTGAAACAATATTATTATTATCACTTGATAAATAATACTTTTAAACATTTAAAAGACAGGTTGGATTGAAAAACATGTTGCAATGAATGGCGAAATACAAAAAATAAAATAATTATTGGTTATATGATGAATAAATGTTGTTATTAATCCATATTAATGTTTATTTGATGGTTGAATAACTCAAGTCTGTATGAATGAGTATTGAGTAGCCTATACATTAAAAATTACACGGACTATCTGCAACATCTTTAGGCCGAACCTCTCTTCGCCATGCAACGAATCTTTTTTTTATTATTCTTTAAAATCATCTTTAGTATTTTATCACCATTTTCCATCAACTGCTGGAAATTGTATTTTATTATTATCCTCTGATGTTGAGACGCAGGCATGAAGATTAACTTTTTATAAAATTCCTAAAAGTGTAACTAACAACGATAATAACAGTTAAAAGTCATCCGACCAAGAGAAGAATTTATTATTAATTAACGTTGGTATGAACAAGAAGATCAGACGTTGATTCCGTATTGAAAGGAAACAGTTAGTTGACATGCAAACTCTGACGTTAATTAAGTTGGAACCAGGTGGCTGTCGTGGAGGTCAGCAACAGAACAGAACGGAATAGAGTGGATACGAACAACAAACAAGCATATTCACTTACAAAAGTTGATAAGAACAACATGTACAGCGTGTACAAGAGTTTGCAAGAAATTTATAAGAACGAACGCACATACTGATATATGTTTGAATAGATGCTTGCACGATTGTTTACAACGACAATAATAATTTTTTAGTTTTTTATGGGTAAAAAATAATTGTAGATTTAATTTTTAGTCAAAGCTCAATAAACTGTATGTTTAAAAACACTGTTAATAATTTGTTTGTCCTATTTCTTAAATTAAACAAATTAATCTATAATTTTTAATATATTTATTTGGCAAAGGAATTTCATTTCAACAAAATCAATTCAATATTTAAGCCAGAGATATATGGTTCGTTATTAGCCAGCCGCTCGCAAGTCTAATTAATTCGTTTTCATTTCGGAATCGTGTGACTATTAGCATTAAAAATATTTGTTGATAGTCGTGTTGATTGAACACGGACGTAAAAGTTTTCCAAAAATGACGTGAATTTGCTGAATTTCATTTATAATGTAAAAAATAAAGCATTTTTGAGATTCTCAATACAATATTTTAAAATGTCCAAACGCTCTTTACTGTGGAAATTTTCAATAGATTAAGTTTTATTAAAAAAGTACTTAATAAAAACTAAAATAATACGCACAGAGACTATCAAGAAACATTTTAAAACGCCACTAAGGACTGTTTTGAAACTCGCTTCAACCAAGATAAATGGAAAAATAGAAAAGGAACAATGTCTTTTTTCATTAAGAATAATTTTCTCAAGACGTCGTTCAACCAGCAATTTACTCATCCATGCATTACTGCCTGCACACACACACACACACACACACACACACACACACACACACACACACACACACACACACACACACACACACACACACACACACACACACAAACACATATTTTGTGTCACGTGCTGTGCATTTCTTTGTTCGTTTACTCATTCTTTTAAACCCACTTTCATTTATTTTTCTTTCCAATTTTCATTTACTTTCAGACTCACTCTGGATATTTTCAGCGCATGCATCCATCTATCCATCAATGCGTTCCTTTGCAAGCCAACATTATGTACACCTCGTTCATCCATCAATGTTAGGTCAGTTACAATTCTTCATTCAATGCTTTCTCTTACCACCGTGTTTAATTTCTATTTCATTATTTTAAAATTTGTAACTAAGGTTAAGATTTAAAATAAATAAATTAAGATGGCTCGCCATAAAATGTTCTAAAATATTATACAAGATGCAACACTTCTATTACCGTATGTATTTGAAAGAATAAGAAAAATATGGCTTCAAATTTCATTGAAAATGCATTAAAATTGTATTTCAAGTATAACCAACAAACTGACACAACTCCGTTTAAACAAAACGTTTAAATGGTGTCTGTCATTGAAGGTAATGTTTGAAAGTAAAGTTTAAAAAACAAACGATCGACCAATGAGGACTCATTGTTAATATTTGATATAATAAATTCATGCATAAGATACACATGCATGCCCAAAACACATGTGTAGAGAACGCATAATACACATATGCATTCATAACGTACATGAACCCAAACAACGCACATTTGCAAGTAACCCTAACTCATACCTGTCTATGCGCCCAGATGACTGATCCAAGCAGCTTCCAACTTCCTCCCCTCCTATCAACTCTCACCATCCTTAGAATTTGAAAGAACCTCAATCCTCGGAGGGCTGACGTAGCGAAGACCTTTCCACCTGGCCCTGAACATAAGATGATGACGCTGGCACCTATGACTATGATGTCTGTGTGGTTGATGTGAGTTTTTAGTTGTTGTGGATGGGGTTGCTAGTGATTCTGGTGTTGTTATTTTGTTGTCAGTGATGTTATTAGTTTAATTGTTATTTAGTTGGTGGTACTGTTTAATGAGGCTTATACATACCAAACATACAAAATTCTATAAATGTCTTCCAGTAATATGATTGACGCAAATTCCGATGAATAAATTCAACTGAAAGGTTTGTTTGAATCTTGATATCATTCTAGATAATTCTTAAAAAAGTTATTAATCTATTTTTTTTACAATGATTCAAGTTTTTAACATAATTTATGTTAGTACTTTTTATTGAAATAAATTAAATTGAGCCTTGTTAGACAGCAGTAATTTTTTTTAGAAACTCAACAGCAATAACAAACCTCATCTATATGCTGGTCAGAGAGATTATTGCATTTTGTTGAAAGTTTTCTTATCTGTGAAACTCGATTACATTTGCATAATCTTCCAACAATAAATACTCAATTCCATCTTAGGACTCTATATTTTTTCCTTTATAACCATCTCCATAACATGTCTCTATATTATTAATGTTTTTGAGTATTTTTTTTGTATTTCGTCTAATTTGGTTGTTCCATTACAAAAAGTCCACCAGAGAATTAGCGTGAATTCTTCGCAATTTATCGACACATTTTTACCCACCAGTGTATTATCAAACTTTGAAATATTCGTAATTATTAAATTCCATTAGAAGCATAGTAGACAGACCTAAGAAAAAAAAAGTTTGACTGATATTTATGTGAGTACGAAGGCTTTTGATTCACATGAACAATATTTTATTGAATGAGGCGGAGGGGGTGTCCGGAAAATTCATCGTGGAAAATTCATCGTGGCAAATTCATCGTGGGAAAATTCATCGTGAGGGAAAATTCAACGTGGGAAAATTCATCGTGGGAAAATTCATCGTGGGGGAAAATTCATCGTGGGAAAATTCATCGTGGGGGAAAATTCATCGTGGGAAAATTTATCGTGGGGGAAAATTCTTCGAGGGGGAAAATTCATAGTGGGGTAAAATTTATTGTGAAAAACAGTTTTTGCAATTACACACCTTACACACCCCATGAATGTTGTAGATTATAAATACGTAGTTTGAGGACTTTTCTATCCTTAACCTTTTCTGTAATGAAATTTAAAACAACTCAACTCAAAAATGTGTTTATTTTGCAACCATGTCAATGAAATCATGTCAATGAAAATGTCAATGAAATTCAACTATGTCAATGAAAATTTGCAAGTATGTCAAGAGAGATGCGCCTAGAAATTAAAATTATGGGCCAATCCACGAAGATAATCCATTCTATCACGGTTATCGTAATCTTGTACTATACGTTTAATTCGAACTGCCGTGTCTCGATAAACCTTTTTGCTTGGAGGCGGATTGGCACCAGCAACATACTGTTCTATTTTTCCTTCATTTAAAGCTTGTTCGTCTTTCAAGGATGAAATGAATTTCCATACTGTTGGATGGCTAGCTCCAATTAGCTCACTAAAGGCTCTGTGCCACCCTTCGCAGAAATTGTTGGTTTTTGGCAAGCCATTGAGAGCAGCATTGTAGCAGTTTCACAGGTCGTATGCAAAACGTGGAGGTCTGCGTTGTTGACGCCGATTAGGTCTTCCAATCCAAGTGTCCTCAAAATAGTCTAAAACAGATTGAGCTTCCACTGGTTAAGACCATCATTGCTATCAAACGTAAGAAATTGATCATCATGGTGTGTAATTTGATAGTCATTAGGGATGACTAGGTCCACCAAAGAATTTGGATTCGGTGGTGCACGATCAGCAAGACGCCTGGTATTTCGAATAGTCTTTTTAAGTATAGAAATATTTGGCATTAGGCCAGAAGCCGCCTGAGAAAGGCTAATAAAAGAATTGGTGATAATTCGTTGAGGAACATCCTGCGTTTCCCTAGCATCATTTTTCATTTGATTCACAACCTTAACAACTTCGACCCGAGCAGCATTTCCTGCGTGGTTATGTTCACCGACTCTTTTTACAATTTTGTCATGACGAGTATGCAAACGTGCCCGACATACAAGATTTTGATATTGATCACATTTCCAGAAAGTTTTTTCTTCTGTAGCCGCATCTTTTACGAACAAGTGACCTGAGTCAATTAATTTTCTTTTTCCTTTTTCACTGTACACGAATTCTAGTGACATTTTTACACAAAGATTAGCGAATCGTGATGCAAAAACTACTTCCTCATTTCTGACACACTTCACATACAGTATTTTATTATAGACTTTTACTTAACTTACTCAGACACGTCCGACGTCCGCGGTCCACCTTTGTATATATTTTCTATTTTATATACCATACTAAGGGTATACAAATGATAGTATTAATAAGCATGGATGCTATACGTTGCCTATTGATATAACCTCCAATACAGTATAATTTGTATATTATACGTATATATTATATACGTTATATGTTATATACGATATATACGATGAATTTCACTCCATGGTGAATTTTACCCCACCACGATGAATTTTTCCACGATGAATTTTACCCCACGATGAATTTTTCCACGATGAATTTTCCACGATGAATTTTACCCAACGATGAATTTTACCCCACGATGAATTTTCCCGCGATGAATTTTCCACGATAAATTTTCCCACGATGAATTTTCCACGATGAATTTTCCGTAAACCGGCGGAGGGATCATAGCTTAATGTGCTTCTCGATGCGTTATTAAGGTACTAATACTCTAAATGCGCTGTGGTGTGTTTATTAATATAATACTGCTATAAGGAATATGTTCTAATATAAATTATATTAATAACAATTTGTTCTGTAAATGTTTACATTTTCAAAGTAGGCCATCAACTATAAATACCTTGTTTTCAACTACACAACCATAATAAACACGAATTTATACGCAAATCATTTTTGCTGGTGACCTAATTGTATAAAAAATGTTTTCGTTCACTTGTTGGTCAAAAAATTATTATTTAGAACACGCGAGTACAGACGAACACAAACTCGAATGTTATGCAAACTTATTTGAATCCTTTACTGTCACTACTTAACTGTTTATTGAGAGAATAGCTCAAGTCATGCAACTCGAAACATCTGCCAATTTGAGCTAATTTATTTTCTTCTTTCTTTCTATTTTGTTAAAAACTTTTGTAAGTATTTTTTTTAGTTTCAAACATTGACTTTTTTGATCAAACTAAATTTCTCATCCAATATTTTACAATAATTATTATTTCAAAATGCAAAGCCTAGATTAGCGCGCGAATTCTCTTTGTACTTTTTCAAAAACTTTGACACTTGTTTTATTGAATAATTTATCATTGACGAACCAAAGAAAAACTTTTCCCCAGCAAACTCGCTGTTCATGTATGCAAATAAACAAACACGCACTTTTTAGACAAAAGAAATGTAAAAACAGGCCATAAAAATCTATTTATAAGTTCATCTAACAAATCTACGTCTGTTTTTTCAAACGAAATAAAATGCGATCACGTTGATTTATTGGAGCACAAGGGAGAGCGGAACACATAAACCTTCCCCGACGAGCAAGCGACACACCAAATCACCAAAGAACCAACAATCACACACACACACACACACACACACACACACACACACACACACACACACACACACACACACACACACACAAAGGACACCCACAATCAAACAATTCTTTTTTAAAACACACGAAACATCGTCAGGTTTTAAATTAACCGATTCAACAATTCTTCTCAAGCCGGAAAAAATTTCGTCAAATAAAGTTGGAAAATTTTTCTGATAAAGTTTTTGAACGAAATAAAAATGTTATTGGTTAATTCGGCGTTGAACCGATAAATTGTGTGTGAGTGTGAGTACGCCATGAATTGAAAACAAGCAACGTGTTAAATTTGATCAACAATTTTGAAAACTTATTGAACTTTTCGATCTTCTCACTTTTTTTCGCTTTTTTTATAACAACTCTAAATTAATTTTAGAATTTTCTGGTCCAGTTTTTATTTTTTATTAAATTATTCACAAACATTGTTTTTTCCATCTACAGAAAAAAAATTTAGTAAAAAAACAGAAAATAAAAAAATGTCGGAGTGAGGTCAAAGTTCACAAAGTCACAATGGCATAATGATGGTTTGTTTATTGCGGCCAATATTGATTTTATGAATGAAAGTCTTTCATTGCTAAACAATAATTTATCGCTTTCAAAAATAGATGCGTTTTAGATAGAACAATGCCCCATAAAAATAATATTCTGCGAACTTCACTAAGTTACAAAATTTTTATACCTAGATTTTTTGAATTTTTTTCACAAATTATGAAAGGATAAGAAAAATACATTAAAATAATCGTTTCAACAAATATTTAACTAAAAAGTTTCAAATTTGACATCTATCACACACAATCCACATTTCAAAATGATGAGGGAATTCAATGTTTTGCGTTCTAACTATCAGCCTACAAAAATATGAAGAAATGTCGCAAGATGAAACATTCATTAAGGACAACCTCTGTCATTTCAACGCCGTTTCTATGGCTTGTTTGATGGACGTAGAACAATCTAACCAAACAACGCAAATTGCGGAATTCAAGTGCACGAAATGAAACTTAATCAACTGTTATATAATGCAATGTTCATGACGACGTCACATTCTTTCCAGAAACAATATTTCACGGCCAGGAAGCATTTAAAACTGCACATCAATATAATCTTCAACTCGTGCAATCACATACCTACTTTATCTTCTTTGTATTCTATCATAGACGCACTTAAAGTTATCTCCTATCGAAACGTTTCTAAAAATTTCAAAAGCTAATAATAAGTGGAGATGAACCTTGAATTCAGAACAACATGCTCTTTAGGTACAAGTTTTTTAGGTGTAACGATAATCATGATGCAACTTTTTTTAAACATTTGAAAAATTTCGCTCCGATATTATTGATGTATGAATTATTTCAAACAGTCGGGATAATGAAAACAATCAAACATTATTA